AGCCCTCGGGATTTCAAGTTTTTAGTACTAGTGCAGTAGTCCTATCGGAATCCAGGTCCATGAACTGCCACATGATTTGCCGCGTGAGGTTTTGGAGGGTGAACGATGAAGGCTTCGGCTGAGCGGATCAGGCTCTGAATGCCTGAATTTCGAATCATAGGACGGGAGTATTGTAATTCCAAGACAATTGACGCTGTGATTACGAGTTGTGTAGGAGGAGTATTTTACAGTCTGACACACACCCAAAGGATCTCCTTCAACAAAAAAAAATGCTAGATTTTTTTAAAAAAAAAAGAAACTTAATGGGACCCAGATTCAAGGAGCTTGCTGGTGCTGAAAATAATAGCTCGGAGCAGCACGCGTTGGAGGCTTGGTCCTTGGAGGGGAGCTGGCGTCGCAAACCAGGTCAGCGATGGATGGCTCTCGTAATCTCGTCTCGCCCCAAAAGAGGGGGTCGGGAAAAGAGCAAGACCATTTGTACTGTATATTGTACCACTCCATTTGCATGGGAATCATCACCTGTTGCTGCATGCCGATGCCGGGTTCGAGTTCAAGTTACAAGTTCAAGTCAAAGGCGATGCACAATTCAAGCAGAGTGGGGTAGTAGTAGTAGAAAGCGGGGTAGTAGTAGTAGAAAGCAAACAAACACCGAGGCCTCGTTTAGTTGGCTAAATTTTAGAAATTTGCTTCGTGTAGCATTTTTGTTTTTATTTGTCAATTAATGTTCAATTATGGACTAATTAGGCTCAAAGCATTCGTCTCGTAATTTTCAATCAAACCGTGCAATTAGTTTTTTTTCGTCTACATATTTAATGCTCCATGCACGTATCGCAAAATTCGATGTGATGGCTACTGTAACACTTTTTGGAAAACTTTTTTGGAACTAAACGTGGCCCGAGTGCATCCGCTTTAGGTGGTGTTTAAATTGATATAGTAAAGTTTATGGTTGTCATATCGGGTGTGATATGGAGTGTTCGGATAGTAATAATAAAACAAATTACAGAAGGCATCATTAAGCCTAATTAATCCGTTATTAGCACATGTTAACTGTAGCACCACGCTGTTAAATCATAGACTAATTAGGCTTTAAAAATTCGTCTCATAAATTAATCGTAATCTGTGTAATTAGTTATTTTTTTAATTTATATTTAATACTTAATGTACGTGTCTAACGTCCGTTATAATAGGGAGTAAATGAAACTCTTCATGCCACCGCGCGCGCGCACAAGCCGTTCGTGCAGTGCACAGACTACTACAGGTACAAGGGGGCCAGTGGTAGCCTGGTACTACTAGCCTGTACAATAGGCGCAGTCACGCAGAACCGCAGTGTACAGGTACTGGTACGTGTACAGTGTCAGTCCAGCAGCAGCAGTAGCTTGCAAGCATGGCGAAGATGCAGCCAAATCAGATCAGTTCGTCTCATCTCGCCGTCTGGAGGTGCACCACCACCATCACCACCGGCGAGCAGCATGATGGAGAGCATCTCCGGGGCGCGCATCTCGATGCGCCCAATATTACCTTTCATGATGGCGGTTTACCACGATCGTGATGGCTTTCACGCATCGAATCACGCACGCAAAGAGCCCTCTCTTTCTTTGCCTCAGTTTTCTTTGCCCAATCATTGTCGAGCGCTGGGATTTCGGGGGCACTGTCGCCGGTCCTGCACGTACGTAGTATTTGCCATGACCCATATGTGTGTGTGTGTGGGTGGGTCTTCCTCTACGGAGTTTTCAGAGTAAACCTACGGTGTGTGATCATGGCGGGTGACAAATTGGTGGTGGTGAACGCGAGGAGGCAGGGGCAGGGAGGAGCATCGGATGCCTAGTTTGGTAGCCGGACGGGGCGAGCTGTTGGGTTGGTGCGGGCGTGCAGAGCGCGGCATCGAGAGCGCCGGAACATGCCAGTTTCGAGGCCACCGGCCGGATGCCGAGTTTGGCATGCATGTTCAGAGTTCAGTGTTCAGTGAGTGGACTTGCGTTGTGACCATCCATCCATACTTGGCCTTTTTTCCTTTGAGAGGAGCTATCATGAACCGGCAGAGGATAAGCTGAACGCTTCTTGTGCACTGCTGACCACATCGTGAAGCAAAGGGGAACAGTTAACGGTGGCCTCCCAATACTAGCAAGCACAGTACAGTAGCAAACACAAGCAGTGGTTTCCATACAAATTTTCGCGCGTTGCATCAACTGGAAGATGATTGAACTTCCATGTTACACTGGTTAATTTACCTCGAGGGATGTTCACAAAAAGAAAAAGAAAATACCTCGAGGGAAACAGTGCCGATGAACGGTCCGTTGCTGTTGGGGTAATTGGACGAAGAAAAGGCGCGCCTGAAATGGACTGGACGTAGGTGAAAGGGTCCCCTGACCCTGCCCGGGGCCTCGTGGGATCAGGTGATGAGAGACGTTCAGAGAGGAACCAAACCCATGATGATCAACATTCACATGGAGCAGTCAGAAATCCCTTGCTGCCAATGAGTGTCTCAACAGTCAACAACATGTTGCAAGCGGAGCCAGGAAAGAATGTCAGAACCATGGCAGCGGAGCCGGAGCAGGCAGCGCCTGCAGTGCCCATTCGTGTACTACCTGCTCCTCCGTCCTCCGTCCGTTCGTCCTCGCGTTCTGGGACCTGGAGCGAAAGGGACAGCTGATTGGCAAAAGGCTGTTATCATTCGCGTGGGAGACGATCGGCGTGGAGTCCAGGCCTGGCCGCCGCGCCGCCGCTGGATGGACCGTGGGAGTGGGGAGGCGAGAAAGGAGATGGCCGCGGCAACCGGCAAGTTGAGAACGTGTGTGCCGTGCCGTGCCACGGCCAGTCGGCCACGCGATTTCACAGGATCGGCACGGCAGGGAAACGATTTCACAGGGCTCTAGCGAAGTGAGCGGGCGGGTGGATTAGAATTTAGAACGGCCCAGCGGTGGTGGACTGCCCAGGTATAAACGCGCGGGCCGCGGGGAACTCGGCCAACTGGGCTGCCACGTGCCATTTGTGTTGGTGGGCTTGACTCGGGCAACTCACAGGCTTACTATGCGTGGGCCGACATGCTTGAGGCCCTGAGTACTTAAGAGGACGGGGGGCTACGGGCCTTAGGCGAAATTGTCGCTTCAGAATCTCGCTTAGAGACATCGATGTGGGCTTTAGCTTCATAAGTGGGCTAAAGGGCCTGTTTTACTATCTAAATGGGCCAGATGCTGATCTGGTTCCACCAGTTTCGTTGTCGCAGGAAAGAACTGTGATGCCGTTGTAACCAGTCGGTCAAAAGATTCTACCGCCATTCTTCCCCGAGAGTAAACCTACAGCCAAGCTGAAAAGAAACACCGGGAACATCTTCACGGCTCAACTACTACCACCAGTTCAGTGGACGAACCAATGACCTATCACATCCACACATACACAGCTCGTTTTTTTTTTCTTCTCCTCCCATAACCGGCATCAGATGCTTTGCTTGCGCCATGCCCTCCTTTCTTTTCCCCAAGGAGAAGAGGAGGAGGAGGAGCTCATACGACACGCTACGCCATCGCCATGCTTTGAACCAAGGCGCGCTCCCCTCCAACCGCATCAACTATCGCCGATGCCGATGAGGCACGCGGCCACATGGGCGTGCGCTTGATTCGCAAGCCAGCCGGAGGCGGAGCGGCAAAATTCTACGGGGAGCCTAGGATGTTGTGATTGGACGATTGGGTTGGGGATTTGTCTACGCACGGCACGCGCCCGTGGATTCGGTGCGGATGGAACGCGCGGCGCTCTGTGATTCGGCGCGGGGGTTCGAGGGGATGGGGCCACGTGACTTGCAAACCATGTGATTTGTCATTAACGATTGGTGTCACTACTCTTGAGATGGGTCGTTTAGTTGCGCGCAGGGCGGCGTGATTGGCTGGCAACGCAAGTACATCGAGAACCGTACCAGCTTATAGATTGGTCCGAAAGGGACAGTGGCCCTGTTTGGATCAGGGGACAGAGCTAGTTTGTGCTAGTTTGAGATCAACTGGCCCTAAAAATATCCAAACAAGAGGGTTAGAGTGGATTATTTGCAACTAGCCCACCCCAAAAAACTATCCCCAAAAGAGGTGATTATTTGGTCTAGTTCTGGTGGGGCCCACTGAAAACTCTTTTTTTTATTACTCCACCCGCACCGGATCCTCGCGACTCCCATCCCCCTATCGCGACTCGCCTCCCCCCATCGCGACTCGCGCCGCCGCCGGTCCCAACCGCGCCGCCGCCGCTTCAATCCGCCAAAGGAGCAGTGTGGCGCCCCGAGGCGGATCTCGGTCGCCACGCCACCTCCCTCCCCCGCCATGCGTGCCCTTCCCTCCGTCTCAAGGCCGCCCGCCGCAGAAGCTCCGACCACAAGAGCAGTCGCCTCCACCGGGCCACTTGTCTGCTTGGTGAGAGTGAGCCACGTCTCGCACCTCCAGATCGGCCCTTCTGCTGTGCTCTCGATCTAGAGAAGTTCGCCATGGACGAGACGGATTCGACGACTTGTGGAGCTTGTAGCTTGCGGTGCCGTCGGCGGCCCAGCCCGCCGCCCGCCGGTCTCGACCTCAACTCGCAAGTCTTGCGGCGACGGAGGGTTCGTGGCTTCGGCGCAGTCTGGAGACTTCCTCTAGGGCGACGACGCCGAGCTCCTTCCTAGACGTGGCGAGGGCTCCGCCTCCCTCCCTATCGCCCACCGCGTCTCACAGGAGGAGAGAGACGCGTGGCGACTCCGGCGCCAAACATGCCCGATAAGCTGCGCTTGGCGGTCCTCGGCCGTGCGGCCGTCATGGAGGAAAGCAGTGGCGGCTACACGGTAGGTCGTCGTCGGGGCGGTGGTGGTGTTCAAACCATGCGAACTTCGAAGAAGCATATTGCCTGGCGGCCGGCGGCCCCAAGACTAACATGGCTTCCGTGGTGGCGGTGGTTGTGGCGCATCGCTTCCCCGAGCACCGAGGGCACCGAGGAGTGGCGTCTGTGGGCAAGCATCCGGCTCCGACGCTACCTTCGACATTGACAATGAAGCAATGGAGGATAACATGGAGGAGTTAGCGAGCTCCGGTGGTCCCCCGGTGAGCCATGCCAGTCAAGCCCAATGGAATGATGCAAATAATGCTTGCTTGTTAGAATTGTGCATAAAGCAACGTAGAGCAGGAACGTATAATGGTTCACAAATGAGTGGTGAAGGGCACCAAGCCGTTGTCGATGGCTTACTTGCTAGAAGAAGGTTGGTGTACACCCATGGACAAGTGAAGAACCAAATAGGCGTACTCAAAAACACCCACGCTTTCTGGCGCTACTTGCAAATGCACACAGGGTTGGGGAGGAGACCAGATGGATCCATTGATGCAGATCATGATTTCTGGCTAACTCACATAGAGGTACAATATTCCTTAGCATATTTTTGTGCTCTCATATCTTAACTAGTATTAACTAGTATGCTTGGTTACTCTATGCTTGCTTCAAATTTGATCAATGCAAGTCGTTGCACATAGGAACTTATCACTGTCTTCTGTTTTACTTGGCTATACATGATGTTATCCTTTCATTTGGACTGTCTTCTGTTTTACTTGGTTGTACATTAGTGAGTGTGAAATGCAGCAACAACTAGTGCATGTGAAAAAATGATGCTTGTGCTATGCTGTGGTGCCTGATTATACATCTTTATTGTAAACAACTGATATTCTCCTATCATAACTAGTTTCTAATCAACTTTTGTGCTCTCATATCTTAACAGAAAAAAATCATACTTAAAGAAGGTGCTGACGAGTCCTCCAGCAAACGAGGACTTGCTTGATGAACTGTTCAGAGGGTACACTATGGATGGCACCACAACCTTTGTGCCTAGTGATGATTATGGTGACAATGAGGGGCAAGATGCAAGGACAGAAGATGATGAAGAAGAAGAGTTTGCACAAACACCTACAAGTAGAAAGCGACCAGGAGGAGCCAGGAGGGGCAAGAGGGCATTGATTGGCACTACAAGCACTTTGACCATCCAGTGAAGAGGAGCAAGAGCCCAATGGTGAAGATTGTGAAGGACATAGCCAAGACCTTCAAAAAAATCATCATGACCAACACTAAGCAAATCCGAAACGTGCAAATGATAAAATTTGCATTTTTACGTCAAGAGGTGTCACGAGCTGGCATTTGAGTGTGGCGTTGAGAAAACCATTGACTCTATCTATGCTATGTCCAAGATGTTCGAAACAGAGTACCAAAGGGAGTTCTTCTGTGGCCAGTTAACTCCTGAGCTTAGGTTGGGTTACTTCAAGAAATGGTGTAGGGACAACAATTTGAAGTAGTTAGGATCTTTTGGGTCCATGTGTGTTGAACCTATCATCTACGTGTGAGGTGTTGAACTATTATATGAGCGTGTGAACTATTATCTGTGTGGTGTAATGATCCTTTATGCTATGTGTTGAACCTATTTAAATTAATCTATGAGCTGTGATGTCAAGTGTTGAAGTATTAATTTGTTGAATTAATTTGCTTACCCTGGTTCAAGTTTTATGCTATGTGCTGATAGTTTGTTACATGTGTTGAAGCAGGAAATGATCATGGCCCCATGATTGAGGAAGAAGAAGATGATGGAGGCAGCTCAAGTGAGGATGAAATTATATCCATGTGCCGCAACAATTTGGTGCAGCAACAAAATTTGATTCTACAGTTGGTTCCTATCTTGGGTATGTACTCTGATAACTACTTTCTGAAACTACCTAAGAGGGTCACTAGAGATTCTGGTTTGGATTGGATGCATGAGACACTAGCCCGAGAAACCCAATGTTACAACATGTTTAGGGTTGAGAGACCTTTATTTTACAGGTTGCATAATACTTTGGTCCAGAGGTATGGGTTGAAGTCCACTAAAAAATGACATATGTAGAGGCTCTTGCTATGTTTTTATGGATTGTTGGTGCACCACAGTCAGTTAGACAGGCTGATAATCGTTTTAGGAGGTCTCTGGAGACAGTAAGCAGGACATTTAACAGAATTTTGAGGTGCCTCCTTAGGTTAGCACATAACAACATTAAACCCAAGTACCCAACATTTCCAGAAGTGCACCCAAACTTAGAAAATCCAGTATTCTGGCCACACTTCAATGAGTGCATAGGAGCTATAGATGAGACACATGTGAAGGTTGTGGTGGATAAGAGTAAGAGAGTTCCATACTTGAACAGGCACAATGAGGCCAGTCATAATATGCTTGCTGTTTGTGATTTCGACATGAGATTTACCTGTGTTGTCGGGATGGCCTGGTTCAGTACATGACATGAGAGTTTTCAAAGATGCCATAACTACTCATCATCACAAATTTCCACATCCACCACCAGGTTTGCTACTTAAACTTTCTTGCAAAAATTTTTATCCAATTACACTTGTTCATCTAAGTCTCATTGTATGCCTTTGAAAATATGTAGGGAAGTATTATGTGGTTGATGCGGGGTACCCAAACCGGCCGGGCTACCTTTCACCATACAGATGTACAAGGTACCATGTGGAGCAATGGCAAAACGGCCCGCCGCCACAAGGTATGAAAGAAACCTTCAACCATGCACATGCCAAAGTTAGGAATGTCATAGAGCGAACTTTTGGAGTGTTGAAGATGAAGTTTAGGATTTTGTTGAACATGCCAAGATTTCCAGAGGAGAAGCAAACTAGAATTATTGTTGCTTGTATGGCTCTTCATAATTTTATTCGAGAGAGCAGAATTGCGGATAGAGAATTTGATGCCTGTGATGCGGATGAAAATTATAACCCAATGCCTAGTTCTTCGGCATCGGCATGGCCAGAAGATGAACCTCTTGTTGAAGATGTCAACATGAATGTCTTCCGTGATGAATTAGCTCATGCTTTGTTTCATGGAGTGTAATTTTTTGTTTAGCTTGATTGAGGACTTGTAAGTTTGAGTGACATATCTCATATGTATGGACAAATTAAAATTTATTGTGATTTGGATGCTTGATTTGTAAAAATAATGTATTTGTATCATTTGTGTGCGGGAGGAGGCCACACAAGAGCCTGCCACACCAAATCCGGCTGGAAAGATGGTTTAAATGAGCCAAATGATTAGAAAAGTATATTTATTATTAATCTAACCTTGCATCCAAACACCTCTTGGGCTAGAGTTAGTTTAGGGCTAGTCTAGAGCTAGAAACTAACTCTAACCTCTAGCCAAGCTAGAGTCACCATATATCATTTCAAGCAGGGATCCTCTATGGCACTAACCATAGAGCAGCAGCCTCGCATGGCGTGCAGCTGGTGGGGGTTGCTTGTTGTGTGGTGCTGCTTTTCGTTTCTTCCGAACTTATATAAGTTCTGTCTAAAGGAAAAACAAGTTCTCTCCAGCGAATTAAATTAGCCAAAGGTGTGCGTTCATGAGCCCATGCTAAAGTCTCAATTAATTCCTGCCAATATCCACGCCAGGAAATTAAGAACATAAATCATGTAGCTCAAACAAGATGTCCAAATAAGAACATCCAAGCCCATACTGATAAACTATTCATCCCAAAAAGATTATATCGATTAATAAGTTGTGAAAAATTTAACCATAGATAATCTCTTAACCATCCCATCAAATAAGTGGAGGATTCATTAAATTGTGAAACGTTGACCTGCCATAATGTAACGTATGTAGAGGACAGGTCGCAGCTCTCACGCGCCTTTATGACACATTCATGGGGGTGTTGTGAAATTGCGTTGCACTTGATAGGTAAGATTAACGGTTCGAATCCATTTCCCTTGTTCAACATTATAGAGTCTGTATATCTTTTTGCGAGACATAGAGTCTGTATATCTATCTTCATTTCAGTTAATAGGTTCTTAGCCGTTGTTTCATGTTGTTACATACATTAATCACCGTCTTCTTCCGCGACTACATACAAGAAGTTTAGGAACATGGAGCACGTAGTTTTGACTGTTAAAAAAAGGTGACATATGCATGTTTTTTCTTCTTCTTCTGAAAAGAAAAGGTTTCTCACCCTATTATTTATCTTGGGCCTTCGGCCACAACACATGGTAGTAGGAGCAAAGCAATGCAAAGCAACCGATCCGAGGTGTCGTTGTTCCTAGTCTCCGGCTTTAATTATTCCGGCGGGGATGGCCGCGCGCATTAGCAGTCAATGGCCACTCGACACCGCACACCACTCCGGACGAAAAGAGGCCACGTACACACAACAGGTGCCCACCGCCCACAGGGGGGGCCGTCCCCTCATCCCGTCCAGTCCTCGTCGACGGCGAAATTCTCACGGCGCCGGTGAAGCTTCCTCTCAATCCTCAACCGCAGTTCACATCATGGCTGCACTGCAGTAGTGGGAATCAGTGCCCGTTGAGTTTGAGTCACCGTAAGCCCTTTTTTTATTCCTCCAACAGAGAGCATTTTCGAAACCCAACAGCTGAACCAAGGTCTCATTTGTTTCGCTGAAAAAAACAAATTGAAACATTGTTCCGACTGATTTATTTTGAGAAAAAAAAATTGTTCCAAGCTGAAAAAATAAACTGAAAAAGATGGATTATTAGAAAGCAAACAGTGCCCAAGTAACGTACGGAGTACTCGGTATTATTCCTACACATTTGTAGATTGATGGCACGATGGAGCATATGCTTGGAATCAATCAATCAGGCTGCACAGCACAGCTTGCGCTTATGGTACTCCTGCAACTAATCCCGTTAGGCACGGACGGAGAGTGTTGGTGTGTGCGTAACGGTGCGGACTGGGTGTGTTTTTTTTTTCTGATGAAAGGGACTGGGTGGTGGTAAGTCACGTCGAGTCGAGCGAGACGGGGTCCGCGGCGTGCGGGGCGACAGCGAGGATGCATGCATCCTCCGTGCTCCAATTCTGGTTCCATCGATCGCCCACCCATCGGCCATCCGCCCATCGGTCATCGACGGCACGGGGATGGATCACGATGAAACCGGACGACCCGTGCGGTCGTGCGTGCCTCGCAGAAGCCCCCCAAAAACCCGAACCTTCGCTGATGTTTGGCGCGTTTTGATTGATGCAGCTTGCCACAAAACTACACGCTACACTTAAGTGTGTGTCGCTTCCTCCCTCCATCCCTAAATAATTGTCGTCGTTGCACAAGTTTGACTCGATTTATAGAAAATACGTGCAACATTTGTATCTCTAAATAAATTTATGAAAAAACTAGATTCAAAGATCTTTAATTAAATATACATTAAAAAATATTAATATTTAATCAAAGTTGTTTCTCAGAAAGTGAAAGCGACAAATATTTACTTTTGCAGTGAAAGAAATCATCTAACCTATCATGACAATGAGATCATTCTGCTATATACTCCCCCGCCCTAAATTAACTGTCGTTTTGGGTTTCTGTGCCACAAATTTGACTCAATTTATAGAAAATACGTGCAATATTTGTATCTCTAAATAAATTTGTTAAAAAACTAGATTCAAAGATCTTTCCGATGATACTAATTATGTGCCATAAATATTAATATTTTTTAAACATATTTAATCAAATTTGTTTCTCAGGATGCGAAAACGACAGTTATTTTAGGACGGATGAGGTACGTGAGGCCGGGCGCGAGAATTATGTGTGGCGCATGTAAGGGGCCATTTGGGGGAACAGTTCCGATTCTAGCGTGAAACACTAGAATCTCAGCCAAACAGGTAGGGAGAGAAATGTTTCTTGCAAGACTCACTCGAATCATTTCTCTCTTTTCTGCCTAGGAACCAGAAACGGACACGGACTGGTTTCTCCTGATTCTGTTTCTTTGTTCCTCTTTGTATTAATGATCATATTTTTTAGCTATTTTAAAAATGCAACAACTTAAAATGGTTGTATTTAAGTTGTTCTTTCCCCATAAAAAATTGAATTTTTTTAAGTATATTCTCATTTCTTTGATTTTTTATAAGAAAAAAAATATTTACTAATAAATCAGAATCTAGTCTACCAGCCAAACGATCTCATAAGGTGATTCTGTTTCACCATCCAAAACGTTTCATACGAGAATCTAGATCCGAAACGTTTCTACAAGAATC